ATTAAGTATTATGCATACAACATTAAACTTAAATTAAAAAATATATAACTTTAAAAAATTAAAACAAAAAAATAAAAATTCTTTCATGAGAGTGATTATTCATTAATACTAAATTTTATTTGAAGTTTGAGTAGATAAACTTATAGCAATTTCATAATGTTTAACATTGATTTTATCTTTATCTATAAAAAAATGATATATTATTAAAATAATACATATATAATAATAAATAGTTAAGTGGGTTGTTAGTGGGTTGGGTTGATGGGGTAGTAAGTGGGTTAGGTGGGCAGTCCGGCCCACCACGGACTCAACCTAGGTGGGCCGGGTCGATAGTGAGCCAGGTCACATTTTTTTAATCGTCATAAAATTTTTTTCATTTTTTTGGCCCGGCTCGGACCATTTTCAAGGTGGGTCAGGTTGACCCACGGGCTGGAGCCCAGTTTGATGGCTCTAGTGCGGGTTGTGTAGCATTGAGTGTGAACGAGGCAAAGAACTCCCTACTTGGATGATGTCGGGAAGGTGAGTAGCACTAGGCGTGAGTTGTTGAAATTAAAACATGATGATTTGATTGATAAAATGTTGATTTCTTGTTGGTTTGGGTTGTTATATGATGAGTTAGTTGTGACTTGTGAGTTGTACATTGAGTGTTGACCATGTCGTGTGTTGACTAAGTTGTGTGTTGATTATGTAGTTATTATGAAAATATGATGTGTTGTTGAGATGCATGTTGATTATAGTGTTGTAAATGAGTTATGATGACGAAGATATAAGTTGAAAAGTTATGTGTTGATTGTGTTACTATGTTGAAAATATAATAAGTTGTTGTGTTATTGAACTATATTGACCACTTAGAACTAGAGAAGATGTTTTCGAAAGTTGAATATCCCATTGTGTGGATATTATGTTGTGGTGTTTCGATTTAACGGTTGAATTTATAAAATTTACATTTAATATAAAGTTATTAAGCGGTGTAATGCTTAATAAAAGTTACACTAGAATCGTTTGAACCCTCCTTATATATATATATATGAATAGAGAGAGAGAGATTTTACGATAAAATTTTATATAAAAAAATGTTAGCTGATTTTTAAATATTTAATAGTTTTAAAATTAATATTAGATGATATTTAATAATTTAAAAAATATTTTGAATGTTCAATAATAAAAAAATTTATTGATATTTTTTGTATAGATGTGATAAGAAAAAAACTATGATGAATTTCAAATATTTAGGAGGATGTAGTGGTTTAGGATTTCGTAGGATTTTAAAAGACTTTTTTTGAGTAAAAAAGGATTTTATGTTACTTAAAAATAATCTGGTGGTATTCAATATGAATTTTCAAGATTTTTTAAAGAGTCCATTAAAATTCGTTGATATTCATTTAAAAACAATTCATTGGTATTAAAAAATATAGAGATTTTAAAGGATTGTTTATTAAAGAGATTTTGAAGGATTTTTTAGTGGTATTTATAAATACCAAATTCATAAAACAATCCCATCAGTGCTTCAATTTGGTTCATTTTTTATGACAAACCAAAGTTTGAAGTCGATAGATTATATGAATATTCGCATACGCTCCTTTCACTCTGTGTAATTTATGCAATCGAAATATGGTGGCCTCAAAATAGGTTGTCCTTTAGTGAAAATTTTCAGATTACTACCTTCAATTAGGTCAGTTTTCAGATTATTTACCTTCAATTAGGTCGGTTTTTCAGATTACTACCTCCAATTAGGTCGATTTTCAGATTACTACCTATTAATTTATTATTTTGTTTTAAATACCTGATTATTTTTTCTTCTTCTTCAATTTAGTACCTGACGTTGGTCTCCCTCTATCAAGTGATTGCGTGGCCAACAGTGTTTGTCACGTCATCACCATGTCCACGTGGTAGTCCCTTGGATGAAGTGGCAGACACTGTTGGGTGATAACGTGATAGTTTGTTTGCCATGTCATCATTTAACAGAGGAAACTAACGTCAGGTACTAAATTGAAAAAAAAAATTGTCAAGTAATTTTAACAAATTTTTTTTTTAAAAAGTAGTAATCTGAAAATCGAGTTAATTCAAGGTAGTTTAAACATATTTAAGCTTAAAATTAAAGTTTAATCCTGACTTTATCTTTAATATAGATTATTTTCGAATCATTAATTATGCATTGTTTGATACATTTCTAAAGTTAGTTTATAATGTCTATTGAGAGCCAACAATAACAATACTTAATTTCTATTTATTGTATCATTTAATTGGTACTAATTTTAAAAAATCATTAAAAAAACTATATAAAAAAAAAAAAGCAAATGCTCCTAAAAAAAACTTTAATAATCCCAATTTTTATAACGAACATAATATAGAGAAGTTTAATAAATTTAATTTATTAACTTATTATATATATATATATATATATATGTGTGTGTATATGTGACGGTATGTATAATATTATAAAATTTATATAAAAATACTTATTTAACTAATATGATATTCATTATAATTGTAAAATAAAATATGTCTTGAAGCACTGATGGGATTGTTTTATGAATTTGGTATTTATAAATACCACTAAAAAATCCTTCAAAATCTCTTTAATAAACAATCCTTTAAAATCTCTATATTTTTTAATACCAATGAATTGTTTTTAAATGAATATCAACGAATTTTAATGGACTCTTTAAAAAATCTTGAAAATTCATATTGAATACCACCAGATTATTTTTAAGTAACATAAAATCCTTTTTTACTCAAAAAAAGTCTTTTAAAATCCTACGAAATCCTAAACCACTACATCCTCCTAAATATTTGAAATTCATCATAGTTTTTTTCTTATCACATCTATACAAAAAATATCAATAAATTTTTTTATTATTGAACATTCAAAATATTTTTTAAATTATTAAATATCATCTAATATTAATTTTAAAACTATTAAATATTTAAAAATCAGCTAACATTTTTTTATATAAAATTTTATCGTAAAATCTCTCTCTCTCTATTCATATATATATATATAAGGAGGAAATTTATCATCCAAAATTTTCTAGCCCAGCCCGGTCCACTACGGGTTGGTGGATTAAATGGGTCAATCCACCAACTCATCTAATTTTTTAAAAAAAATTATAATATAAAATAATTTTTAATCTAAAGTAAAAATTATCAAATTAAGTATTATGCATACAACATTAAACTTAAATTAAAAAATATATAACTTTAAAAAATTAAAACAAAAAAATAAAAATTCTTTCATGAGAGTGATTATTCATTAATACTAAATTTTATTTGAAGTTTGAGTAGATAAACTTATAGCAATTTCATAATGTTTAACATTGATTTTATCTTTATCTATAAAAAAATGATATATTATTAAAATAATACATATATAATAATAAATAGTTAAGTGGGTTGTTAGTGGGTTGGGTTGATGGGGTAGTAAGTGGGTTAGGTGGGCAGTCCGGCCCACCACGGACTCAACCTAGGTGGGCCGGGTCGATAGTGAGCCAGGTCACATTTTTTTAATCGTCATAAAATTTTTTTCATTTTTTTGGCCCGGCTCGGACCATTTTCAAGGTGGGTCAGGTTGACCCACGGGCTGGAGCCCAGTTTGATGGCTCTAGTGCGGGTTGTGTAGCATTGAGTGTGAACGAGGCAAAGAACTCCCTACTTGGATGATGTCGGGAAGGTGAGTAGCACTAGGCGTGAGTTGTTGAAATTAAAACATGATGATTTGATTGATAAAATGTTGATTTCTTGTTGGTTTGGGTTGTTATATGATGAGTTAGTTGTGACTTGTGAGTTGTACATTGAGTGTTGACCATGTCGTGTGTTGACTAAGTTGTGTGTTGATTATGTAGTTATTATGAAAATATGATGTGTTGTTGAGATGCATGTTGATTATAGTGTTGTAAATGAGTTATGATGACGAAGATATAAGTTGAAAAGTTATGTGTTGATTGTGTTACTATGTTGAAAATATAATAAGTTGTTGTGTTATTGAACTATATTGACCACTTAGAACTAGAGAAGATGTTTTCGAAAGTTGAATATCCCATTGTGTGGATATTATGTTGTGGTGTTTCGATTTAACGGTTGAATTTATAAAATTTACATTTAATATAAAGTTATTAAGCGGTGTAATGCTTAATAAAAGTTACACTAGAATCGTTTGAACCCTCCTTATATATATATATATGAATAGAGAGAGAGAGATTTTACGATAAAATTTTATATAAAAAAATGTTAGCTGATTTTTAAATATTTAATAGTTTTAAAATTAATATTAGATGATATTTAATAATTTAAAAAATATTTTGAATGTTCAATAATAAAAAAATTTATTGATATTTTTTGTATAGATGTGATAAGAAAAAAACTATGATGAATTTCAAATATTTAGGAGGATGTAGTGGTTTAGGATTTCGTAGGATTTTAAAAGACTTTTTTTGAGTAAAAAAGGATTTTATGTTACTTAAAAATAATCTGGTGGTATTCAATATGAATTTTCAAGATTTTTTAAAGAGTCCATTAAAATTCGTTGATATTCATTTAAAAACAATTCATTGGTATTAAAAAATATAGAGATTTTAAAGGATTGTTTATTAAAGAGATTTTGAAGGATTTTTTAGTGGTATTTATAAATACCAAATTCATAAAACAATCCCATCAGTGCTTCAAGAATTTTCAAGTGAGTTTTTCAAAGCGACTTTTCAAGTGCTTCATGTAACGCCCGATTCTAACGCCCAATTTATATAATAATTATATATTTCTTAAATAATATTTTCGCAAATATATCGTTAACTATTTTTTTATGGATAAAGATGAAAAAGAATTTTGCAAATTTTCAACTATAACAGCTTTATAGTTTTAATGCATTGCATTATGAACTTAAATTAAACAAAGAATGAGCAAGACTTTAGTTGATTAGTTCCAGTGGCAAGAATGATAGCAATAGAAGCGGTTGATTTCTTTAAATTAATAAAAAAAAAAATCCAAAAATGGTTAGGATGCAGTACCTCTTCCAAAGCCATAATAGTTGCAGGGACATAATCAAGTTGACGAGCCCCGTGATTGGAAACAATGATTCCAGCAGCTCCAACTTGTACGGCTATCCTTGCTACATTATTAGCATAAGATATGGGATTAGATTCAATATTGAGAAAACAATCCTAATAAAGATAAAATGGACATAGAAACAACAGATCGTATATGTTTGATAGGCTTACTATCTTCAGCAGTAAGTACACCCTTTACTAGAATTGGCAATGACGTGATTGTTTGAAGCCATTTGATATCCTGAAATAAGATTTACCATGGTATTACTTCCGCATTCAGTAACACAGATTAGAAAACTGTATCTGTGAAAGATCTATATCACCTTCCAGTTGAGTGATCGATCAACTTGTCCAGCAACATAAGCGGCAAGACCAGAGTCACTAGTCTGCAATGTAATTCCAAACAGCAAATAGCAGAGTAACAACAATAAGATGACCAATGATGAAAAAACCCACCTGATTACAAAATTTCATACCAATAATGGAAAATAGCAATGTAATCACATACCTTGTCCATCTCTCCAAGATCCAAACCTTCAAAATTCTTCAATAACAGATTTGGTGGCAATGTAAATCTGTAAAATACCCCATCAAACAAGCAAGTAATATGTATCTTAAAGTAGGAGATTTATCAATTCAACCATGACGACCCATGTAAAGTTTAATGGAAAGACTTTCTATTGAAATTTTCAAAGAGAAAATAAGCTATACACTGACTGATAAGTGACAATATAAATTAATTTACAATATCGTCCAATTACAAACTACCATGTATTCTAAGTTTGTTGATTTTTAAAACAAATAATTAAAAAATTATACTAATGATGATTTTTGATTGATTGATTGTGTAAAAGTGTTTTAGACTATAACTACATGACCATTAAACTCATTCCAAATGGTTACCAACCTGTTTTTGATGTCAGCCTCCCTTCGACCAAGAATTGGAGTGTCCACAGTAAGGGCAATTGCCTTGAAACCAGCTCTTTCAGCTCTTCTCACAAGCTGAGCAGCCACATTTCTGTCTTTAAGCACCTGAAAGAAGAAAAGAACGGTAACATATTAGGTATTAATAAAAGATTCTGGAGAAAATTATAAATGATTTGTGAAAACTATAAGATCTTTTCTAGCAAAAAAAACTGGAAATAAAATGCAATACATTGCCCTGTGGCAGTATGCAGGAATCAACCATTAATTTGTCAAACTCATTAAAGCATTGATAAAAGTGCAACAAAAAAAATGATAATGATAATTCATAAAAGTTATTTCCTGTTTTATACTATGTTATTGTATTCAAGGGAGAGACTCGTAACACACATCACAGAAAAGAGAACTACAGAAAGAAGAAATAAGGGCAAGATACTCACGTAGAGTTGGAAAAAACGGATGCCAGGACCTGTTGAAGCAACCTCCTCAACACTGGAAGTAGACCATGAGGATAGTGTCTGACAAAAAATATTATAAAAATTAATCTGCCAGAAAGTTAATAAGTACAACAAATGCATGCAGGTCTTTAGGCTTATACCATTTCAAATTTGAGTCAAATAAATAATAAAACTACAAGGAAACAAAAACAGTTTTTGTCTGGAAATAAAGCCAAAGTAGATGACAAATGTGGTGAAATCCAAACCATGATTGTGCCAGCTGCTGATGCTGCTCTGGCAGTAGCTAATTCTCCTGCACAAAAGTTGCATGATTTGTTTTAATTTAGAACTTTTTCTAAACTGTGGGTGGAAATCAACTTCAATTAAAAAGGTATTAAGAATCAGGGACTTCTATATTAACAAAATCTGCAAAGTTAATGCTTAATTATGATGAATTTTATAATTTGTAGAATATACTATAAATTACAAACACAATGATCAAATGATATCAAGACCCTAGCATTCTTCTCTATTAAACACTAATAAATAAAACAAAATTTCCAAGCCTTCGTGTTTCATTTGAGAACACTAGTTCTTCTGAAATTATCTTAAAACATTTTAGAAAACAGTTTAGACAGTCTTGCTGAAATTTTCTCCCCAAAATGGTTATACGAAATTGACTGGGATTTTTCTTATATATGATTTTCCTTGATATGGATTGTAATCCTATACCAGAGAGTATAACAGCATTTTTTGTTGAAAAGGGAATGTTCTTATGTCTTCGTATTTAAGCAAAACCTTTTTTAAGTCCTCTCTTTTATGTTATTGTGTTCATGGTTATAGTACACTAAAGTATACAGAACCATTACCGGTTTCAGCATAAACATACGCCGTAAGCTTTCTATCAAAGAGCTCCAATATGCCTTCTCATTCAATTAAATGCAAGGAAGCTACATATTATGGCATTCTATACCTCATCCTACAATCATTCCACCTCAAGGAATGGGAATGCGTCATTCTGTGCTTTTTGATTTTATGAGAGTGCTATAGTTATATTTAACAACAACAAAATACCGGGTATAATATCTTAATTTGGCACAAACCAATGAGTTTGATATCATACCTTCAGGGTGAGCCATCTTTTGCATGGCTGTAGGTGCAATCATGATAGGCATTGATATTTTGAAGCCTAATACTGTTGTAGTCAAGTCTATCTTGCTTACATCAACAAGAATACGCGGCCGGAACCTATTTGAAGTAAACCAAATAGATATTTAAAGAAGGGCTACAGAATAAAAAGGATGAAAATTAATAAAAGGGAGCATAAGTTGCAATCTCATAACACATGTAAATCCTACTGTGTCCTTAGTAATCAAAGAAGGAAAGGTGAAATTATATCTTGAATGGAAAAAAATAAAGTTTCTAGATTCCTGGGAAAAGTAAATTACAGAATCCTTGAGAATGCATTTCGGTTCTCTTTCAAAGTCCACTGATCCTCTGCCCCTGATGCATAGTAATCAAAAACCATCTTTGGCAATTTTTCCTTTGCAATTTCCTCATACTCGGAAACATTAGTTATCATCTTCATCCTCGTAATATTTACTTATAATCCGCAGGATCTGCAGAAAGTTTGTTTGAATTATAGTTATTAAACAACATGAATTCATATCACATGCATCCAATCCAACGATGCTGAGCAATACTAATAGATGCAAGTATGAATATGTTTGAAGTTCACTGACTAGTTTCAGAACACTATAAAACATGCTGGTTAGAATCCCGTCAAAACACAATCTTGGACAACGTGACGACTAAAAACAGAAAAACGTAGCCTTTTGGAATCCCTCAATGGTATTTTTTTTTTTTTAATTTTATAAGGAAAGAAGATTTCATTACTATTGAAAATGAACATCAGCACAAGGGATGCTAAGTCCATGAAGGTCAAACACATTGTGCCCACCAAGTAAAAACCTAGAGTGAAAAATCATCAAGGAGTAGTCTTTTAAAATACCAACCATCGATGCTCATGATTTATTGTGGTTTAGCACATAATATTACCAGTTGATTTGCTCATCAAAACGCTGAACAGGATCAGTTATAATCAACCCACTCAAATTTTGACAAGTGTAATACAATCAAATTCTATTTGATATTTCTCATCCATTAAAAATAAATTCATAATAGTGTATATAATCGCGGAATAATCCTCATTTTACAATTTAATTTTGTAAGATTGAATTAAACTCTTAATCCATTTTGCCAAAATGTTATCGAAGCATATAGCGAATTACCGATTGTTAGTAGCTTTATCATGTCACATGTTATCAGACCATTATCGGACAATCTATATATGTCGAGTTTGTATATAAGTAATGAACAATCAATCCTTCACTTATAAGCCGATTTATAAGATTGAGTTAAGTTATTATCCCACTTTCTAAGAAATTCAAAAGAAATCCATGATGGAAAACAAATAAGGAGAATAAAGATCCAGACTTTCAAAATGTTTAAACCTCAAACAGTAGCCAAAACTATGAATTGCAATCATAGAGTAATGAAAGGAACCGTAAATTAAGAGTAGAAAAACAAACCTAATCAATTAGTATAATAAAAAAAAATTACGATGAAATATGTTATAGACGAATGCAAATAACATGGAATGAAACGCAGGTAGGAAGTTGAAGGGGAGAACCTTTATCTGTGGCTGGTGAGGGGAGGAATGCGATGAAGCTAAAAAGGAAGAAAAGTGAAAGAATCACAAGGTATCACGGAAAATAATAAATAAATTGCACAGTGACAAAATGAGGAGTATACAATTACAATCAGTATCATCATAGGCTAAGACAGAGACAAGCACTAGTGACTTTGTTTGTCGAGGGGTACCGCAATGAGACAAAACTGTTTCACGGAAAACCGAGCTATCGTACTGTTGACCGTGGCCCACATTTTTGGCTTTTATTCATCGCCCGGTTAATGCTTTTGGCTAAGGATGATGTATGTTCCTATGACGTTTTTAAACATAAGATTATCGTCAATAATAGTAATGTAATGGCTTTTTAAATATAAGAACATCTTCCATAATATTTCCTAATGGAGTTTTTAAGCATAACAATTGATTCTTACAAAATTTATTATTAGAGTAGAATATCTGAATGTCATGTCTAACTTTTGTTGTTATACAAGAACTTTTAACAACACGTTCTTAAATAATAAAAAGTATTTTTTTTTATTATTCTTACTTAATAGTATAATTTTTAATAAAGATAAAATAAAATTTTAAGTTAAGTTCTTTCATTACAGTAAAAATAAATAATGAAACCCACTAAAAATTTTAGTAAAAATTTTAGTTGACATTATGAAACCCACTAAAAGTGGAATAAGAATCCAAAATAAGTTTTACTATAGGAGATGCTTTAAGAATTGCTTCTTGTAATTTTTAAGGTAAATTGTAATTTTAGTTTTTTTTTATCAATTTGTAATTTGATTTCTCTATCTTAATTCCTCTATTTTTTAAAATATAAATTTTTGATTTTATTAATAATTTAATATTCGTTTATTCTCAAATGTTGACATTGTCAGATGATTTTTCACCACTTAAATAATGCGATATATAATTATATAACATATAAGAATAAAAATTAAAAAATAATATATAAAATATTTTCATTTATGTTATTTTTACGAGTTATTATAATTTATTTTATTAATAAAAATCTTATTTATATGTCTTTTCAATTTATTATTTTTAAAATTTATATTATTAAATATCACATCATTTAAGTATGAATAAACATTAAAATTTAATAATTAGTAAAGGTCAATTTCACAAGAGGACCAAAATTTTACATGTTTAAAATTAGACAGTTAAGCATCTCTATTTTAAAATAGAAAGACAAAAATTATGGATTAATGAAAATAAAGGAACTAAAAATATAATTTAGCCTAAATTTTATCCATAAAATATGTTGACATGGATAACATGATATAAAACATATTTTTATATTAAAAAAAGCCTCATGAACAAGTTATTATCAATAAAAAATTATTAGTTTATTATTTTTAAACAAATAAAAATAAATAAATAAAAGTGGAAAAAATGAATTGAAAACCATCCAAACAAAATTAAAAGAGTTTTTAAATACTAAGTGACACTAAAAGAAAGGCTCACAATAAATAGATTGAAAATTTAAAATGAGTTCTTCCATTAAGATGTTATTATGTTAATTGATAAGTAATAATTTTCATACTTACTAAAATGTTCTTGTTGCATACACCCACAGTTGATAGTTAATCATCTTATAATAACTAGTATGTCTATTTGTACAACATATAAATTATTAATTAAAATATTTTATATAATAATAAATATAATAAAAAAATAGTTTTTTTTTATGATTTAAAGAGTATTTTTATATTTTAAATTATTTGTTATATTTATTTTGTAATCATAAAAAAAGTTAGATTATATAACATTTATAAAGTAATACTTATAATAATGAGTTTATATAAATAATGTATATAGTATTTGAGAGAATTACTGAATAATATTATTTTCTAAATCAAACCGCTTTGATAATAAAGATTTTATTATAATGAGATTATAGAAAATTTGTTAATTCACATATATTCTGTATGAATGTGTTAATTTCTACACTACAACTTATAATATAATGTCTATACTTTATTTTTCGACACCTCAGTCTATGATAGTGAAAATATCATTTTAATAAAATTGGTGAATTTTATAATTTGAAACATTAAATTAAAAATATTATATAATTTCTATGAATAATAATTAATATTTTCATAAGTATGTATTTTATAAAAATTGATAAATTAAATATAAAGTTATTGTTTATTTAAATATAAGATAAAAGGGATATATTAATTTAAATGTAGAATTACCTCTATTCATATATTGCAATAAACTTGTTTATAAATCACATGAAGTAATATTATTATCTTATTATTCGTTAATTTTAACCAAAATATTGAGACCTTTTCTTAATGTAAATGATGATATTTTAAAATATATTAGTAAAATGCAATATAAACTATATATTGTACACTTAAAAAAGTTAACATTTTCATTTATTAAAATATTTCAATAATGTTAATTTTTCAGAATATATGTATCACGGTAATGCGATATAATTTTATGCACCTTCAATGAGTTTTATAGATAACATTGGTTAAATAAAAATCCTGAGGAAAAGTTCCTAAGGATACCATGGAAAAATAAGAAGTTGGATCTTACCAATATCCGTGACAATATTAATGGTGATTGGTGGAAAATATAGATGTCAAATTTAGTGACTAATGCTATAAAATTTTCTTGCAGAAGATTCAAGAATGCACGTTCAATGAATTTTAAAGATGACATAGCTTAAATAAAAATCCCGAGGAAAAGTTTATAAGAATACCGTGGAAAAATAAGGAGTTGGATCTTACTAATATTCGTGACAAGATTAATGATGATTGATGGAAAATATAGATGTCAAATTTGGTGACTAATGCTATAAAATTTTCTTTAGAAAATTCAAGAATTCGTTAGCAGCCAAATTTCTTTCATAAATGCGCGAGGCTTAGGTTGCAGTATTAACAATGACATACAATCTTATTTATGGATCAACAAATAAAATTTAAGCAAAAATATATTTTTCGTTTCTTATATTATTTATTTAATTTAATTTAGTTTTATTTTAATTAATTAAATTAATTTAGTCTCATGTAATTTAATGTTTACTTTTCCTTCTTCTCCATTTAAATACTTAACAGATATGACATGTGTTATGCTGTTATATTACATGGTTGGACATCATGATACTTGGCATGACATGCAGCATAATGACATGACATACAACATAATAACATGACATGTAACATGATAGCATGACACGTGGCTTGACAGTATGACACGTGTCATGCATGACACGTGGCATGACATATGTCAAATCTGTTAAGTATTTAAACGGAAGAAACGAAAAATCAAACATTGAGATACATTTTAAATATATGAGACTAAATTGATTCAATTAATTAAAACAAGACTAAATTGTACTAATAAATAATATAAGGGGCGAAAAATGTATTTTTACCTAAAATTTAAATACAAAAGATGTAAATGAATATTTTATCTCTCAATAAATTATGAAACTATAAATTTTATTAAAAATGCCATTATTTTTTAAACACAATCACGCAAATCTACAAGGAATTTAATTGAGTAAAATAATTAGTGAAGCCTTTCTCACTTTTAAAATCAAACAAATTAACGTAGAAATTATCTAATTATTACAACTTCGTTAAAATTGGGATAAAATTTATGCCAACAATTTAAAATTCTAATTTCAAATTTTCTGTTAAGGGTTAAATTTCTATCTATTGCATTTTAACATGTTATAAATGTTAAGATTCATGGATGGTAAATCAAGTTCTGAGAGTCTTGAAGATAACAAAGAACAAAAGCTAATGAAGACATGAAGATCATGAAAGAATACAAATGTAATAGGAGTAGTTTGTGTGCTCTTATATGTTGAGTTGCCTTGTTGAGTTTATTTGTTATGCATGTGTGTGCTTTGTGCATGAGTGAATCTTAATCCAAATTGTTTAAGAGTGAGTATGATAATGTTTGAAAATAACTTGGAAAGTTTTTGAAGTGTGAAATCAAATTTTTGAAAACTAACTCAAAATAATTGATTATTATTAACTATAATCGATTATTCCAGCAAGAGGTTGAGAAAATCTTGTTGTAATAATCGATTATATGTGAAATAATCAATTATTCCAGGAAGTACTATCTGGAATAATTGATTATCCTGCAAAATAGTTGATTATTTTGTTCTTGAGTGATTTCCAAAATTCATGAAGAACAAAATAATTGATTATCTTTAAAAATAATCAATTATCTGGGTCTGAAAAACTTTATAAATGGTTCTCATACTTTGAAACAAAAACAGAGAATAGAAGAGAGTAAACAATTGATTTTGTGAAGTCTGTGACCTTCTTGGAGTATTTTCTTTGTGAAACCAAGAAGAAAAACATTTTGTGAAATGCTTTGAGAGAGATCATCATCATCACTACATTCTTGGAAAGAAGGATTAAGATTGGTTAAGAGTTCACAATCTGATTTATTCAGCTTCCAGGTGAATTCGTTCCTTTAAACTTTTGTGTAATGTGTTAAGAAAATCTTGAGTAGGTGTTTCAAGTGGTAAGGAATTATTGTAGTGAGTTTCTATAAGAAGTGCTTTCTTGGGTGCAAGAAAGTGTCTATCTTGAGTGTTGAAGTGTGTGCATGTGTGGTATGCCCGTAAAACTTCTTCATTGAGATAGTGGAGCAAATCTTGACCAGGTTATGATTGAGGACTGGATGTAGGTCACATATGGAGTGGCTGAACCAGGATAAAACACTTTGCACTCTTCTCCCATCTTTATCTCTTATATTGAACAATCTTTAATTGAATTATTAAAATGGTTGGCCTTGACTAATATGCTTGTATGATTAAAAATGGTTTAAACTAAAACATAACCACTGCATATTAGTTGTTCTTAAACTGAATTCAATAAAGATTAAACAAGAACTCGTATAGGAGTCATTCCCATTTACAAGAGGTTCAAGAAACTTCATTAAAAATTTGTATTAAAAAAGTTTTAATTGAAATAAAGATCCTTAAACTCTGATAATTCACTCCCCCCTCTTGAATTGAACCATTCTTTTCTATCCATAAATTGTTTGGTGGATTCTACTGTGGATATGTTGAACAAGTGATGCATGGGTACACAAGGAAAAATAGTAGGTAAATGCAAAAATATCTGATCAATTAAAATTTTATAAAAATTATATTTTAGTCTTTTTACATCAAGAAAATTGAGTCTTTCTTCACCTTTTCCCCTATCACCTCATAATGCAGCAAGAGGAAGCCACTCATTCCACTGTTTCACACCAACCGAAGCAAGAAAATGAAGACCAAGACGAAATAGTCGAAGAGTAGTGTCACATCAGTTTCACGACCTTCCCAAATGGCTCTAAGGTGTTTGAGATGGCCACCAAATTTTGTTACGGCGTCAAGATTGACCTTTCCCATCCAATGTGGCCGTGCTACGCTGTGCCGGCGAGTTTCTCAAAATGATCGAAGAGTACTTCGAAGACAACTTATTTATAAGACAGAGAGATTTCTCTCCCAGCACGTGCTCAAGAGCCTTAAGGACTCCATCAAAACGCTTAAATCATGTGACAGCTTGATGCTTATGGCGAAAATGCTCAAAATCACGCAAAATGTGCATTTATTTTGTGGTTTCTAGAACTTTGTCTACGGATCTTGCATTGTTTGGCTGGATGGTCAGCGACGCTATTTCTACATCCAAATAGGTCCTCTGGAACGGAATTGATGGTGTTGGGAGAAGAAACGATGAGTGTGGTTTGAAGGGAGAAAGTGAAGGAAGACTCAATTTATTTTTTTTTATATTAGAGGACTAAAATATAATTTTTATAAAATTAACATTTGTTAGATATTTTTTGCATTTACCCGCTATTTTTTCTTAGAGCATCTGCAGTGAGGGTTGCTTATAAATAACTCCTGTGCCACATCATGCCATATCAGTTTTTTTCACTTTTTTTTTAAAATATTGGAGTTTCTACAAGCAATTTGCTAAAATTTAAGCAACCCAGGAGTTGTTTATAAGCAACCCCACTGCAGATGCTCTTGTGTACTCATACTCTACTTCTTTAATGTCCTTTTTTTTTTGGGATAAACATAAGAAAAATTACAAAGATTGTCGCAATGAGGATTGAACCTAGGTTGCTTTTAACTACTCTAACCCATCCACACCCAACCACTAAGCTAACCTAGTGATTACTTCTTTAGTGTCCTTTGAAGAAATTACCAATTTTTTTTCTCATTTTATATTGACAACACTCACATCTTTTATCAAGTGTGTAACATACAACTACAAGTTGACATGAACAGAACTAAAAAAAAAAAAAGAACAAATGGCAAAAAGAAGTTAATTTAGAGCAGAAGGATGCAACACAAGTAGAAGCCGTGGTGCAATGGAAGATGGTTCCCACAAAGAGAGTGGAAGGAAAAAGTCCTTTAGAAGTGTGGAGGCTGATCGAGCGCAGCAAAACCCTCTCCCACCTCCTCCAACTCCACTCCCTAATCCTCAAATCCTCCTTCCACAACCACCCGTTCCTCATCTCCCAATTCCTCAAATCAGCCTCCTCCATCTCCCTCCCCTTCGCCGCCGCATT